CAAAAACTATTTTGTGCAGAAAATARCTGAGAAGGCTACACAGTAATAACCAAAAATATATAAAATTCACGCTATAAAAATCAGAAAAATTATTATAGAACATAATTTTTATTTTATAGATTAGCCGATTTCATTTGTCACCAAATTTGATTAAGATGCAGGCAAGAGAGATTTATAAATATTTTTAATATTATTATCACTCATATTTATTATTTAGCAATAAATTCACCTTGCACGCGGGTATCTAAGATATCACATTATACCTAGGTATCTACATGTAGGCACTCAAAAATTGTCAACTATCTCACCACGAGGAAAATATTCTGTAGCCGAAAAAGTTTTGCACTACAAACATCGGCGTTTGAAAGGTTTGTAAAGTTGAAATTTGTAAGCGATTTGTTTAGTACCTACATAAATTAACCGTGGTATTATTGGTATTTCGTGTTACACAGACTAAAAATGAAAAGAAACTCATCACGKYATTGGTTTTTGGAACTGAACATATAAAACGCTGGGTTATGGCGTTAGCAATGTTTGCAAACGTGTACTTCACTGTTTAGTGTTTAGCAAACAGGCGGTCTAATGTTTTCTGCCATCAAATATTTACAAAGTTTACCAAAGTAAAATTTCCTTCGCGTGTTTTGAATATTGAATATGGTTTTTGTAAACTTGAAATAAATCCCAAATATTTACTTAATTATTGATTTCAAATCTATTAAATTTATAAATAATAAAGGTTGTAACCAAAAAATAATTAAACAAAAACCTTAGGCATGACATTACTACGATCTACACGGAAAACAATGATGGTGCATATAATAGTAGCGTACAACCATACATTTTAATTCGTGACCTTGGTCAACAATTCCTTGCATACCTAAAACTTATGAATTGTAAGTTTTAATTATTGATATTTTTTTTTAAAATAATTTTTAAATCTTAATTCTAAGTCATAGAATTAGTAGGTACATAGTATATAGTAATTAGTAATATATTTTATTATTTTAGTTAAGTTCATTGCTTGCGACAATATTTACATGAAAAACTAAAATGTACGATTAGGTATGTATTTAAAATTTAATGATATTTGATATGAAATTTTCCTAGTAGGTACGTGGTCCATTCATTCAAACCCATCAATAGAGTAACAAATTCTAATTATATCTTAACAATTGACATCCCCGATAGTCAGGTTTTACTTTTTTCGATTTTAAATCCAAATATAATTTTTGTTTCAAGATGTATTGAGATAAAGTTTAGGTACTTTCCCTTAATTGTATTTCCTATTTATGTTAAACGGTTATCAGGTTTTACCACTGTCCACTTGTATAGGTACCTATTATATTATATATTCTACCTTTATACTTTATTTTGATATTTATCTATTATAGGTACCTATATGGATATTTCCACATGTTATTATTTYCTGATTGACGATGGTATCCTATTATCTAGTTGGTGCAGTGGGGATGTTAAAATTCACAGTAGTTTTCAAAAGTGCCGGGAAAAGTAAAAAAAAATTTAAGAAACTGTCATTTTTACGCAAAATCGGATTTTGGATATTATAATAATATAATATCAATTGATGTCCACCTAAAACAAATAGCGTCTTTACGTGAAATTTTCACTGAATGTTTGTATGAGTATTTTATGTACTTGATACAATTTTCAAAAGATTTTAAATATTTTTTGGTATTTATAGACATTTGAAATTTGAAATTTTTTTAATTTTTTTTTTATAAATAACAATAAAATTATTCGTTTGACAATAAAGTTTCAAAATTTAATACAAGGGTCCAGATTTTTTGTTACAATGGAAGTTAAAAAATATTAAAAATACATAGTAACAATTTTTTATAAGCATTTAAATTTCGAATGTTGACGACATACCTACGTAAAAATCACTAAAATGTGTAAATTATTTTTCAGTTAGAAATTCTTAAAAATATATCTTTTTGAATCTAAGATTTGAAAATTCAATGCAATACAATACAATATTCTTCATAAATTTGATTACTTTTATCAAACAAAATATGTCTACCGGAAAGTCAAATTAAATTTTTAAGAGCTTTTGGATTTCAAATTTTTACAACATTGAATATTCACTCGATTTCTCTTGTACCTAGGTACCCATATTCTTATTTTCTTGTTATTTAAAAACGAATAACTGTAGAAACTTGAAGTTTAAAATTTAATTTGTTTATAATAATTCTAATAATTTAAATAAAATGTTATTCGTTGTGTCAAAAAGTTTGAAAATTGAATAAAAGATTCCCTATGAGTTGATATATAATAGCAATTGGGAAATATTAAAAATGCATTCTTGTTTTTTTTTATATAAGTTATAATAATTTTATTAATTATAGTTAAATTTATTTTWAAAAAAAATGCAAAATAATATTTTTAATGAGTTGATTTTTGTTACAAATTAACAATATAGGTATTATGTATAAAAATGACATCGTGTAAGTATAATTTAGTATAAAAGTATTATAAATTAATTAAAGTATTTATAGTATTTATATTAAATTATTATTATTGGACGAGTGTCGAGTACCAGCATGAAGTAATAAATATGGATTTCATATGGATGAAAATCCGATATTAGTCGTCATTCGTCAGCCGTCGATAACGATGATGTCGATTGACTATCATTTATCGATGATGTATAATGGGTTATTTACAATTGACAGTAGGTATCTTTACAGACGTAAATTCTATAAATTATAGAATTACATTTATGCAACTATCAATAAATACGCGTTTTCATTCAAATATACAAAAAAAAAAAATTAACCCTAGACTCTACAGTGTAGAGTCTACACATTACGAAATGTCGATATTTATAATCAATTTATTAGAATTATTTATAATCAATTTATTATTCTAGGGCGATTGTACAAGAATATGCATTTGCATATAAATCCGGGCCCTATTTATAACCATTTAAAGTTCAAATATTGACAACAATTATTAAAATGAAAATTTACAAATCATTTAATAAAAATATCCTAGATTGACAAAACGTTTTCGTTCAGAATCGTTTTTTGTATACAATGATATTACATCATTGAATTAAAATTTAATACTATCCATTACAGTGATCTAATTGTAACCTAATGTACAGCAAAGTGACTTCCACTAATAAGCCACTCATTTTCTTTTTTTATGAAAATAATGATATATAATTAATAAAAATGCTAGCGACAGAAAAAGTTTTTCCCTATGTAGTGTGAAATTTTGGTAATTCTTCTATGAATACAGAAGAAGTAAAGTTGTTCTGCACCAACAAGGCAACAAATAAAATTTTATTGACATATATAGAATTAACAACTACAAAAATTGAAAATTTCATATGTCCATTTATAACTTAAAGAGTTGAATACTTATTAAGTATAGAAAACGAAAAAATAAATATTTGATCAAAATTTTGAGTATCAATGGTTATTGGTTAGCAGTATATAGTTAAAAACAAAATAAGAAAAGCATTGTATGAGAAATCGAGTAAATATCTATACAATATAATAAATATTTGATCTTCAAACACTTATAAATATTTAATTAGACTTTCCAATGGACATTGTTTTTTTTTGTTGTTGATAAAGGTAAACAAACTTAAAGAAATCTTGCTCTAAATTTTAAAATCTTAGATATAAAAAGAAAAGTATTTATGAATTTTGAACTATAAATAATTTACAAATTTTAGTTACTTTTTTGTATTTTGTGAAATTCAAGCTTTAAATGTTTACATTAAAAAAAATTTTGCTATGTATTTTTAATATTTTTCACTGCCATTGTAACATATTTATTAAAAGCCTTTCCAAAGTCAGTTTTGAAAATATCCATACACAGGTACACAGCTTAAAACAAGTCAATATAGTGTTTAGAAATTGCTTACATACACATTCAATGAACATATTAATCTACGGTCATTCGTTTTAGAGTTACACMAAAAACTAAAATCGATTAGAAGGTACCAACTAAATTAAATTTTCTATTAGAAAAGATACTGCTGAAGAAAATTGAAAAGTTTTAAATGCCTCAAAAGGTGATTCAGATATTGAAAAAAAATTAAGAAAATTTCTATAAAAAAATATTATTGTAAAATCATTACTTTCATTGTTCCGCTCAGAATCTAAAATATGTAAACATACATTGCATACCTTAAAAAAACCAGAACAAACTCGATTCATTGCTGTTTGATATAAAATTATTATATGCAAACATCATTTTTTAGTTTAATACTTATTATAAAAAAATAGAAACTATTAAACTAATAATATAATAATAACAATAATATATAATATAATATAATATTTTTTATAGTAAAATTATATTAATTTATTAAATATATAATAAATTATAATAATGATTTACTAAAATTAAATAACAATAATTGAAACAGAGATAATAATCTAATTTACATTAGACATATTATATACAACACCATAATTACACAACATGATAAAATAATTTACTATACGTCTATACGTATAGCAGTAGTAGTAGGTTATGTTTAAAAATAATTTTATCAATAGTATTATCAACAGTTGGTATAATTTATAATAAAATAAAATAAAGTCAACTACTAAGTAAATGGCAGACTTAAGATCTCTTCAAATATTTAATATTTCTTATACCCATATTACTTTATTGTGTACCTAATATTTTATATTTCTCCACTGATGAATAAAAATATTATTACAATTGTTGATATTATTATGACAAAGATATACATTATTCAACTGTCTCTAATGGCACTGAAATCTATTAACACAATGTGCCTGCACTAAATTTGGTGMTTGACATCTTAATTTATTAAAAAGCAATTGTTACAACCCACTGATTTTTAATACATTTTAACTATTATAAAAAAAAAGTAATAGAATAAAATAAAACAACATTTCAAAACATTCATCAGAAATTGGTAAAAATAACGCTGGTTAAAAGTTAAAACATGACAGAATTATAATACATACTGTTACCTATATTATGGTAAAGGTAAACACAACATCAAAAAAAAAATACATTTTAATTTTAACATTTTAGTTTCATGATATCATAATATAAATAAGAGTCAACACTAAAGTTTAACAGTTATTCACTTGGAAGCATTTATATTTGTTACTGCTTTTGGAATCGTTATACAATATTTTTAATTTTTAATTAAAGTTTTTGGGCTTTTATACAAGGTTTGCCGTATCGTTTACCAGCTTCAACAAAAAAAGCGTGTTCCATTTGCTTAACTAATTCATTAAAAAATGTATTGGCTAATGCTGAATGTAACGGTGATTTAAATTCATAAGACACAAAAAATGTAATAACACAAGTATTTGAATTATCTTTTAATCCAGGATCACAATTCCATTGAGTTAATAAATATTTAAATAGATTTCCCTCACGGCATTCTGCTTTGATCATATGAGGTCTTTGAAATGTTATATGTGATACATAACTTTCTATTATAGGAGGAAAACCAATTTTTAAATATGTTTTAGCATGATTTTCTCCTTTAAATATGACTGTAGATTCTCGACAAAATGGTAAAAAATTTTTATAATTTTCTGTATCTTGAATGACATCAAACATTTGATCAGGAGAATACCTATAAATTATGTGTTAGATTAATAAATAAAGTATTGTAAAAATTATTGAAATTTACCCAATCAATTTTTTTTCTTTATAAAATTTCTTTTGGTTATTTCCTCCTCCAGGATTTGATATATTTATAAAAGTTCGTACATGAATGGAACACGGACTTTTGGGTGTTATAGCTATTTTTGTACGACAACTAGTTGAATAGAAAATGTCTTTGCCATTCAGAAAACTGATAAGTTTCCATTCCCTAAGAACAAAAATAAAAACAAATTAATAGGAAAACATCAAATGTAACATTACTACAAAAATAAAAATAATTAAACAACACAT